GTTCATGATGCTATGCGATTTCTTTTGTATCTCGAACGCTTCAATGCATTTCCTTTCGTCGGCGAATTTGATATTTGAATGTAAGATTCTCCAAGTTATATCATTATGGTTCGGTGCATGTCCTGTTTCTTTATGTGATTCCAAGTGCTTATAGACTGTTTGTTTCTCCATTGTCAAATGTTCCTTAATGCGTGATCCTATTGTTCTGCCCGTTTCGCCAATATACAAGATTTCACAATGTGAGCAGGTGATTTCATAGACAGCATTCTTTCTTAAACATTGGTTAGATTTCTTACCAGATTTACACGTCTCACATTCTTCCATACAATTCAATTTCTGTTTAGGTGGAGCAAATTCCCTAGCTGATGGTGTACCATTCCTATACTGTAATCAGATGTTACTTATGCCAGATCGTCGTACCACCGCTTGCGCCCGTCTTTTAAACTCTTCATCAATAAATGGCAATTTTAGATAAATATATCTCATCTCTTCATCTCTAGTCGAATTAGAGTTAGCAGATCTTCTTATAACGTTTCTTACAAATTTCCTAGGGTATTTGTTGTCAACAAACAATTTAGTAACTTTCCGGAGGGATTCTTGCCGTGAGGTGGGATCTGTTGAGCAAGCTATAGCTCGCTTAGTTTCGCCTATATGAGAATAGCGCGTTTGGAAGCGATAGAACCATGGCTATCCCACGGTGTAATACAGAGACTGTGAATAGGCTTTATATAAAGAACTGTTTGATTTCCCTGTCAAAGGAGACCATGGTATCTAGAAATGGTAACTGATTATTGTTTGGTAGCTCCAATATGTAAATTTGATGTTGTCATTAAGTTCATTGACCATGGTTAAAAGTTTTTCTCCCGTGAGATGTTGTGATAAAAGAAAAACAACAAATATATCACCTGCTCACATTGTGAAATCTTGTATATTGGCGAAACGGGCAGAGCAATAGGATCACGCATTAAAGAACATTTGACAATGGAGAAACAAACAGTCTATAAGCACTTGGAATCACATAAAGATACAGGACATGCACCGAACCATAATGATATAACTTGGAGAATCTTACATTCAAATATCAAATTCGCCGACGAAAGGAAATGCATTGAAGCGTTCGAGATACAAAAGAAATCGCATAACATCATGAACGGTTGCATAGGGAGAACAATAACAATTTAGGACCCTTGATTTTAATTTTAATTTGAATTGTTAATTTTTAATGGGAACAATTAGGCTCCACGGAATTCAAATTTTTAATAGGAACAATTATAGACTCTAGAGAATTCAATGCTAGGAATTTTTAATTATTGATGTACAGTATAAAAATAGGGTGTGTAATATTACTGTAAAGTTTTTATCTACTGAAGAAGCCTTGATCGGCGAAACGTCTAGATATTAAATATAACAACATTTTATGTCTGTTGAAATTCCATCCACAAGGAACCTTCACATATATATATATATATATATATATATATATATATATATATATATATATATATATATATATATATATATACATATATATATATATATATATATATACATATATATACATATACATATACATATACATATATATATATACATCTATATATATACATCTATATATATTGCCGTTTCCAACTTTCCATGTGGCAAGATGTGATCATGTGAACGGTGAACCGTCAAAGACTCCGCATTACTTTGGTCAGCAACAACAAACAAAACCAAAACTTCATCTTATGGACCATCATCTTCATCTTATTATATACTTACATATTATTATTATTAATTAATAAAAATTAATAATAATTATTAATAATTAATTAATAATAATTATTATAATTAATTACTAATAATTATTACTAAATAATAATTGTTGTAATAATTAATATATTATATAATTATAATTAATTCTAATATAATTATAATAATTATAATAATTATAAGTATTATTATTATTAAAATTGAATAAAGTTTTCGTTATGATTTTAATTATTATTAGTATAATTACATAGGTGATTATTCAAAATTCTCCACGCTGATTGGCTGCTGTTGAGGTACGTGATTATTACGCGATAATCACCTAAGCGATTCTCAAAATGGCGGCCGAAGCCGTTTTGTCAATTAAATGACGAAGAAATGTGTATTTTTAAATTTTTTTCTAAATATTCACCTATGAAATTATACTAAAACAATTATTCACCTCAGGCTCGATGATTATCGTGAATAAAAACCTCGACTTCGTCTCGGTTTTTATTCACCGATGATCACCTCGCCTTCGGCGAATAATTGTTATTAATAATTATTAATCCAACATCCTGTGGGCCGCCAAGAAACCCGCGTGCAATTACACAGTACAGATCTTCATCACGGGCTTAAAACTGTAGGGAGCCTCTTTAAGAATGCGTTTTTGACTCGTGTTCGTCAGTTTTTGACTCGTGTTCACTCGTGTTCGTCAGTTTTTGACTCGTGTTCACTCGTGTTCACAGATTTTTGACTCGTGTTCACTCGTGTTCGTCATTTTTGACTCGTGTTCACTCGTGTTCGTCATTTTTGACTCGTGTTCACTCGTGTTCGTCAGTTTTTGACTCGTGTTCGTCAGTTTTTGACTCGTGTTCACTCGTGTTCGTCATTTTTGACTCGTGTTCGTCATTTTTGACTCGTGTTCACTCGTGTTCGTCAGTTTTTGACTCGTGTTCACTCGTGTTCACAAATTTTTGACTCGTGTTCACAAATTTTTGACTCGTGTTCACTCGTGTTGTCTCGTGTTCACTCGTGTTCTGACTCGTGTTCACTCGTGTTGTCTCGTGTTCACTCGTGTTCTGACTCGTGTGGTCTTTTAGAATAGATCCCGCTACTT